ATATATATATATACATATATATATATATATATATATATGAAGAAAAATAAAGACATTGAAAGAAAAGAAATGAAAGAACAGTAATATGAAATTGAACCATTTGGTTAGATTAGCTTTACTTCTGCCGCTCTCTACAGATATTGATGCCCTGGAAGTTCAGTGACTTAATTTTATAAGCAATAAAACAAATCACCGAATAATGCTTTTTTTTTTTCGTTTCCGACTGTTGCTTTTTTTTTGAGATTCAATGAAATGATTACAGAACTAAAGGTAAAATTTAATTTTTGAACCATAAAAACGCCACCAACACGAACAAAAAGAAAAACGTCCTAGAGAGGAAGGTATAAATAGTGACCAAAACGATTAGGTACCCCTGCTCTTCTCCTCACTTTACGAAACACCTCCTACAAATCTCTTTTCATTTTTGCAAGTAGAACCATCTATGATTCAATCGAACAACAGCAATAACACCAAAAATAACAGCATATCAGTATCAGCAACAGTCGCGACAATAATGCATGACTGGGTAAATGAATAGGATGATCACAATTGACAGAATAAGGCTTTTCGATTTATAATTTTATGAATCCCATTCCACGTATCCATCAATCCCTTCATTAAGACGCTAAGTTTTTGAAGTTCAAATGTCTATAACAATAACTGCGTCAAAAAATAACAGCAATAAATAAAAATGCCCCTTTTACCATTTCACTGCCTGCCTCCTAATTTATTACGACAAATCAAAATAGACAAGAATTACCTTATCTAAAATCGCAGAATTCGCATGCTTTATTCTTCTTCTCTATGCATTGAAAATTTTATCTCAAAAATGATATTCATTGGGGCAGACAATATAACTATATTTTGCCGCGAAACAGTGCTTACAACAGCAGACTGCACTATTTTACAACACACTCAACCACAACAAACGAAGAATATCTCTTCTCAACGAAAAACGGCTCTTCTCCGCCTGACCTTCAAACAACAACTTTCTACCTCTACTAGCGCTTGAAAACACAATACTTTTCACATAAACCCCTCATTATTGCAAATAAAAAATAAATAAATAAACATTCTATAGGTGTATTACCTTCTAGATACCATCATTCTCTAAAAAAGTCACTTTGCTCAAAAGAACCTAATCACTAAGTATGTATCCGGTGTATCTGGTATAAAAAAATAAAAACATAGTCAAGCGCAATAAAAACCCTTTATTTAGGCTTAACAATTTAAAACAATCATCAGGCAAACAATAACTACACATATTTGCATCAAATCTTGTTAAACGCTGCAATGTCAACGCTTTGAACCTGAAAAACATTACCCGTAGTTTGTTGCATTTTAATTATAATACATATTTTCCTAAGAAAAAATTATTACTGGCAGAACTCACATGAGAAGATATGTCGTCGACTATAGTGTCAATTAAATCATCGACAGAGACTTTTTCGTCCTCTATGACGCATATGATTTGCAACTTTTTAAGTCCATAGGCTAAGGGGATCAGTTTACCTAAAAGGTACTCAGGTAAATTACATGGTTGGCGAGCAGGCACTACACAAGCAAAACAATATTGATGAAGACGCTTCTATGCTAACAGCAACGCCATGTAAACATAATAAAGAACTAAAATTAAATTCAGTGAACGGTTACTTCCTCCCCATACAAGGCCATCCCGCTCGATCTCCCTAACTTTTGTCTCCATTTCTTTCATGTCCGTTTCATCACTCCATGGCTAGAATGACCAACAGTAAACCAGAATACCAGATAGAACTGTTGAAGAATCATATGTACAAGATAGCCTCAACCTTTACCTTAACATCGAGAATCACAGAAGACTTGGCAACTGACGCAGGTTTCTTAGCTTTCTTTTCAGCATATGCTTTCAACCGATCTTGTACAATGCGCTTTTTCTCTTCATCTTCCTCTTCATCGGAAGACCCAAAAAGATCAAAGTCCTCACCTTCTTTTTTTTCTCCGGTACTTGGTATTTCCACTGGCTGTGCAGATCCAGCTATGCTAATCTTCAACATTCAAAACTGTTCCTTTCGAAAACTTCAGAAAAGATTCCCAATGTATAATATCAACGCAAAAATAGTTAAAGTATAAATATGGTTGTTTCAATTATTAAACCAAAAAACGCAAAAAAGAAGTGAGCATGAAGAAACAAATATCCGTACTACATTGTACAAGTCGATTAAGCTTCGAATACTAGACATAAATCTGGAAATAAGCAAAAAAGCAATCATCTAACAGTGAAGAATACTATAAGAACGAAGGAAACTAGAAGAATCCAAAATCAAACAATGAAGCTAAAAGAGGAGAAGTATAAAAAGCAGAAAAATGGTCAGTGTGACAGAGAAAAGAACTTCAAGACATAATTTATGTAAGATAAAAAGGCAAATTTTCTGAAATAAATGCATGAATAAGAGCAGTTCGCAGCTCTTCTTGAAGACTGTTACAGCAAGTCTTACTTAAAGGTTTACTCCAGCACTGCCATGTGATTCTGTAAATCCGATTTGGGAAACCATCTGGAGCAAAACTCCTCATATGCTTCAGTTCCCACACATCAGACAACAAGCAACCAGTCAGACTAAATAAGATCTTTTTAAATAATTTTTCATGATATATAATTTGTTCCGGAATTCTGTACACAATAGAGACGTCATGACAATAATAGGGCCTCAGTTCATGGACATATCCTAAAGTTCTTGAAGCAAAGCACTTTTCACTGTTACGGAAGTCTTGAAGTGCGTTTAAACAACGGCACTTTCTCAGCCTTACTGTTACTGCTTCGCAATCATTAAAAAATGCCTGATCACGATTTTTATATCCTCGAGGACAGTACTCTGGAACTTCGTCTACATAGAATGGAAATGCATCGCTTATTAAGAAACCATATTCGGCAGCAATGTAAGCAACCTGCCAGCTATCTCTCTCATGCCTAGGAATTTTGTTTTGAATGACAAATTGCTGCAACGCAATGGCTGGGTAAAATAAACCAGACTGTCCTTTGGCGAACGTGACATAAAAGTTTCCATCTTCCAAAATCTTGGAAACACTGCGGAATGTTCTTCTCAGGAGATCACGGCTTTTTTTTAAATTTGTTTTACCACCTGGGTGAGGAAAATTCCAAATGATACTATCGAAGACTCCAGTCCATTCTAAAGGCAACGCACAAGCGTCAACACCAAAAAGTACTTTAACAAATGGAGAGAATTCTGAAGACCTCAAACGAAATAAATAGCCATTCCCCGATGGATAGCGTAACAAAAAACTTCCCTCTTTTTCTGGGACAGTTGCCACTATTTCTAGACCGAACTTATATTTCTGCTTCAAAATCTGAGAGAACCCAAATGAAAATGAAAAGTTCCCGTCGCCGAGAATAAGTATTTTTGGTCCGCAAGAAAACAACGATTGATGTGAACAGGATGCGTTAAGCTAAAAATAAACGATACTGCAATTAAACCAGCCATTCTGTTTATCGACGAAAAGCGGAAATACGGGTCGAAAACTTTGAAATGAAGAAATGAAGAGTGCCTCCCGAAA